GTGAACATTGGAAATAATCTAATGTGTCACAGGTGAGAATCTTAAAATCAGAGTTCTAAAGTGGCTTAGGTATCATCACTTAGTAATTCAGAGGCAGAACTGAGATTCAAAGCTTGTGCAATTTTGTTGCATTTTAAAAAACATTTTCTTCATTAGGATAATGAGGTATAGAACCAATCTATTTAAGAATTTATTTGTGTCATTAAAAAGTAAAATTCATTCTGCCTTTTACTCTGGAAATTTCACAGAATAAGGAAGATTTTCTATTAGCTACGAATCAGGAATATGGGCTTGTAAAGGGACTCTGTGCCTTCCTTTTCAATGCGGTTCTTGTTTAGTACTTCTTTCTGGAAATATCTAGAAAAGAACAACTCAGTACATTTGTCAAGAGCCACACCTCATTGTTTTATTTTTGGCAGAGTGTAAAACGTAATGCTGTACTTTTGGTGATTTGGCAACAGGGTACTTAACAATGATTACTGCAAACATTCCCAGCTCTCTGTTAGTGCTTTTTAATGTCTAATATAAATCCAAAACCTCTTTTTCTATTCTGAATGAAGATGGAGAATAATGGTTCTCCATGGAATACAAAAGAAACCAAACCAAACCCATTGCCACCGAGTTGATTCCAGAGTAGGACTGCCCCATAGAGTTTCGAAGGCTGTGATCTTTACAGGCAGCTCTGGTAGCTCAGTAGTTAAGTGCGTGGCTGCTAACAGAAAGGTCAGCGGTTCAGTTTGAATTCACCAGCTGCTCTGCCAGAGAAAGATGTGGCAACTGTTTCTGCAAAGATTTACAGCCTTGGAAACCCTATGGGGCAGTTCTACTCTGTCCTATAGGGTCACTCTGAGTCAGAATTGACTCCATGGCAATGGGTTTTGGTCTGAATCTTTATGGAAGTAGACTGCCACATCTTTCTCCTGCTGACAACTTTTGATTAGCCTAACTGAGATGCTTAACCACTGTGCCACCAGGGCTCCTTACTCTCTTTTTAAGGGAAAAATCTAAGCGCCTTTCTGTGTAAAATACCCAATTCTTCTATATATTTTTACTGTTTAAGGATTATTCCTGTCAGAACTCTGTTTTTCAAACCTCATCTTTATTAAATTTTCCCCATTGTTCCTTCTATTTGCAATACACAGTGGATACTTTAAGAAAAGTAGTTTCAGGCTAGCATTGGTGAGTGCAGTCTTCAGCTGGGTCTATACAGAATTGGAGCGTTGATACAGAAGTAGTAATATGTGTGTGTATGACACTTACTTGACTGATCTTGTCATAAAACCCTGGGAATCGTGCATCCAAGACTTGTACATATTCTCTTGAACAGTTTTATACTCTGATCAGCTGTATCTAATTGGATAGATCCTGCTTTAGATCATTAAAGATAGAATTTAAATATATGAACCGTATGCACAATTTGTCTATAAAGAAATAAATTGTGATGATGTTGACTTCTTAGATATTTTCCTTTTGGTTTCCACAGTGTATTTCTCACTGATATCACAGGCTTGTACAAGTCACTGACACATCCTCAGGTTTGGGTTCTTTTCTGCCTTACCTATTTTTTATTAGTCATTGCCTGTTATGTGGTTTGTCTTTTCTTCATTTGATTTGTTATTTAAGCAAAATATATGATTTTTTATCATTTAAGTTGAATCAAAACATTCAAAACACTGGCCATTTTTTCCACTGTTGTGTCATTTGTAATATTGCATGACAAAATGTTGATAGCCTTGACCTTGATATTCAAAAATATTAAAAATATTAAAAGGGTGGTAAAACAAATACGTAAGATTACTTTAGAATTACGTGTCTCTGAAATATTAAAAGATATTCGTAGTTAACTCATTGATCATTATCTACATCAGAGTGTTTAATGATAGCTCTTGGATCTAAAATGTGCAGATAAATTGGCTAGTGTCTTTGTTTTTCTCCTCTTAAAAGAGGAGTTATTTTAACATCATTTTTGTAACACTGGAGTTGGAAAGTCTGTGTGTGACTGAAGTAAGAATGGCAATGCCTGTAACTTGCTCTTTGTAAATAATCATCTGATAGTCAATATAACAAAAATATTTGTTGACTAAATGAGTGAATTATTGTCTTCACATATGAGAGTTTATTGGGGGAAATTATAAAGCCTATTAAAAATCTGGGATGGTTTTGGTTAATGTATAATCAAATAACTTAATGGTAATGGAGACAAGACAGTAGAAATGGAATTTAACTTCCTGTCCTATTCATTAATTCAATTCATTACTGTTTTAGGTCAATTATTCAATTCGTAAATATCTTAGGAGGAAAGAATAACACACACCTTTAAAAAGAAAGATAGATCTAATATTTTGTTTAGTAGAAAAGATATGAAAGACTTCCTAAGAAAGTGAGAAAACACTTTTAAACAAGAACCTGGGTCTTGTTTTAAGAGATATGTATCATAAAATAGAGATGTATTTTTTATTCCTTATTTTGCATAAAATTTCTTTGTTAATACATTCAATTTTAAGATATTCATGAGTGATAAGTTTTTAGATCAAGTCAATTGGTGCCTACTCCTCCATAATCTTTCAAATTATCTATATATGTATATATATGTATGTGTGTGTATATATATATTTAAACCTTATTTCTCAAAATCATGTATAAAATACTTAACACTTTTAGTCATGTTTTTCAAAAGAGAAACAGTGCCTCTGCATATTTGTTTTGTAACAGGTATTCAGCACAGACGTATATGGCATTGCAATCCAATACCATTTTACACGAACACTGATTAATCTTTTTCTTACCTGTTCTCTCATTGCAGTGATCAGCCTGGGTGGATACGGTGGAGACAAATGAGACTCTGGTGACAGAGTTTGTTCTCACGGGACTTACAGATCATCCAGAGCTGCAGGTCCCCCTGTTCCTGGTGTTCTTGGTGATCTACTTTGTCACCATTTTGGGGAACCTTGGACTGATTGCTCTCATCTGGAAGGACTCCCATCTTCACACACCCATGTACTTATTCCTTGGTGGTTTAGCCTTTGCAGATGCTTGTACTTCATCCTCTTTGACTCCCAGGATGCTTGTCAATATTTTAGACAAGAGTCAAATGATATCCCTCTTTGAGTGCATGGCCCAATATTATTTTTTTGGTTCCAGTGTAACCACAGAATGTTTCCTCCTGGTAGTGATGGCCTATGACCACTATGTTGCCATATGCAACTCCTTGCTTTATCCAGTGATGATGTCCAACAGACTGTGCACTTGGTTGGTAAGTATTTCATATGTAATTGGTTTTCTGCATCCCATAATTCATGTAGGATTATTATTCAGATTAACCTTCTGCAGGTCCAATATAATACATCATTTCTACAGTGAAATCTTGCCACTATATACAATTTCTTGCACTGACCCATCTATTAGTGCATTGGTGGTTTTTGTTTTTTCTGCTAATTAAAGCTTTTACTTTATAACAATCATAGTCTCTTATACGTGTGTCCTCTTTGCTATCCTGAAAAAGAAGTCTGAAAACAGCAGAGGCAAAGCCTTCTTCACGTGCAGTGCCCATCTGCTCTCTGTCTCTTTGTTCTTTGGCACTCTCTTCTTGATGTATGTTCTTCCTGGGTCTGGTCCAGATAAATATCAGGAAAAGATGTATTCACTGTTTTACACGATTATAATTCCCTTGTTAAACCCCTTTATTTACAGCCTAAGAAACAAGGAAGTTTTAGCTGCACTGAGAAAAGTCAAAAAGAAATAAATAGTTTTCAAGAAAATTTTTCCTATTTTTTCCATTTCACTTTCTGCTTAAATAAATCTTCACACTTGGTCCTGTGGTCTTTTTCCTTTAAATTTTATTCATTTTGTTGTTGTAGGTGAGAATATACACAGCAAACCATACATCAATTCAACAGGTCATACTTGTGTAATTCAGTGACATTAATTACGTTTTTCGAGTTGTGTAATCATTCTCACACTCCTTTTCTGAGTTGTTCTTCCCACATTAACATAAAATCACTGACTCCCTAATGATGAGAGGATTGTGTTATGTACATGGAGAAACATTTATTTTTCACTGGGATATTCACAAGGTCTTATGTAATAAAGTCAGGAAGCGGAGAATCCAAAACGGTCTGATGGAAGAATATATAGCTTTGGTAAAGATAAAAGCAATTTTAAGTTACATAATTATGAGCTAGTCATGTATACCTACTATTTCAGGTAGGTGTTAGTTCCAGAAAACATGTATTGAGTAGTGAGTTAGGAAAAAGGTGCCCAGTAAGATTATTAAGCAGATTAAAGGTAGAAATTTTTAAAGAACTCAGAACTTTTCTAATTATATTGATGGAAAGTTATTTTAACTACTTATTTTTATCTTTCAATACCTTTCAATAAATTCAGTACAAATATAAATCACTTTTTAAAATTACTTTTACACCTCATTGTTGTTTTTCTGTCTATGAATAGACAGCCTTAAGCTTGCTAGTCTATATTAGAAGGAGGGTATGATGTAAAAATTAGGAGAAAAATTGTATGGACCTGTTGGAGGCAAATTCTTTGAGTTTTTTTCTGTTTGGTAATGTCCTCATTTCACCTTCTTGGTTGAAGGATAGTTTCATTGGATATTAAATTTTAAAAAAATGGTGAGCTTTTTTGTTCTTCAGCATTTTAAAGATGTCATTTAATTGTTTTCTACGTTCCATTATTTCTTACAAAATTAGTCAAATATTTCTGTTTTCTTATACATAATGCAGTCCCTACACCCTCAAAAAATCAAATGTTTATGTAATTGATTTTTTTCTAATGTTTTTCTGTTTTCAATTTCAATGATTTGTTCTCAGGCTTATTATTTCTTTTCTTCTGGTTGCTTGAGATTGATTTTGCTCTTCTTTTTCTGGGTTCTTCCAGTGAGAACTTAGATTAATAGAGATTTTCTCACTTTCCTAATATATGTATTTGTTCCTATAAATTTCCCTCTTGGCCCTGCCTTAGCTGTGTCTCACAAATTGTGCTATGTAATATTTTATTTTCATTCAGTTAAATGTTTTGTTTTATTTTGTTAATTTCTCTAGAGACTTACTTGTTGACTCATGGATTACTTGATGTATGCTGTTTAGTTTCCAACTGTTTGGAGATTTTCCTGTTACTGATTTCTAGTTTGAGTGCATTGTGGTTGGAGAATATGATTTAAGTTCTTTTAAATTTGCTGAAGTTTGTTTTATGGTGCAGGAAATGATCTATATTGGTATCTGTCTGAAGGTACTTGAAAAGAATGGGTACTTTGCTGTTGTTGAGTGGAGTGTTCTACAAATTTTTATTTGATCCTATTGATTGATGCTGCTCTCTTTTCTTGCTGTCTCTGGAAAATGGGGCCCTTTTTCTTTCAAGTGCTGTAGAACAATCTCTCTGGACAAACAAACAGGGATCACTAAATATCTATCACAGGAAAATTTCAAAGTTTCCAGAATCCTATATATTATGATCATTTTGTATCCTGACTGAGGGCCACCTTCACTTCTTTACTATATCACCACATCCACCTCTATCTCCAAAACACACATACTTATTCTCCATGTCCCCCTTCTCCTTTATCTTTTCTGAAGCTGTCTAGATGCTGTTAATAATTCTATCTAATGATCTCTTCTGGACTCTTTACCTGAAAGGATAAGCAAAGACCTGGGGAAGGACAAGACATTACAGGTGAATGGAACAAATTGATCAAAGATAAGGAGGTGGTACAGCTAGGCTGGGTTTGGGGTAAATTAAGCAATCTGGTGGGTGAGAATTCCTTAAACAAATATTTATTGAGAAACTACTTTGCACCAGACACTGTTCTAAGTGCTGGGGATACAGAGGCAAACAAGGCAAGTGAGACTCTTGCTCTTTGGCATTTACTTGATAGCCAAGAGCAAACAAAGAAGCCTTTTGTTATTTCACTTTATTACACGGCACTCTAAGTCTGAAGATGATTAAGTTTGGGGGCTGATTTGAGCGTAAAAGCAGTAAATCCTTCCCTATGATGAGGGAATAAAAAGGATTCTTATTTTGGAGAATCTTATCTTCAACCATCTTCACATCCATTCTCCCAGAGATATTCCTGAAGCAAGAACTCAACTTGAGCCAAGCCAGGAAAAGAAACTTCACTTAGTTCTCCACACATTCTGGACTACCACGAGTCTCCCAATATTCCCTAAAATGTTTCCACTGAAATGTGGCCCATATGACAGCAGCAGAACATCACCTGGGATCTTGTTAGAAATGCAGACTCTCAGTCCCTACCCTAGACACAGTGAGTCACAATATGCATCTCATCAACATCTCCAGATGATTCATATACATATTAAAGTTTGAAAAGCACTTCTAAGAGTACCAGCTGGGTTCACACCAAAACCATTTTAGAAACTTATTCTAGGATCATAGACTATTATAACTAGAAGGAACTTTGAAGAGCATATAACTGACTGTTTCTCAAAGTAGTGACTCATTTGCTCTTGATAACCCATACTCTCTTATTTGGCTTCAGTTCTGACCAGTGGATGTTTAAAGTTTCAGGTATATTCTGTAACTGCTAGTATTTTTATTGAAACTTTATGTTGTTATTATGACAACTGATCTCAACGCTATGATAAAATTAATGCCATTCTTTATCAGATTAAATCTATACTTTCACCCCCAAATAAAAAAAAAGAAGGAAATTAACCATATATTCTGATATTTCGTAAGTCTGTACCCCCAGTGAAACCTGCAAACATTAAGAGGTTGTCACTGTTATTTGTTTTTTGCTTTAGTATCATTGTTATACCTGGATGTCCCTTGGGTAATATGAGCATTAGCACCAAATACCAAATAGACTAACTAACTTCATCCTATAGGGAGTTCTTAAAAGAATTTTGCAATTGTTTTTGCTAATAGATATGAAAACAAGGAGAAATAAACAGTTTCCCTAGAAAATCAGTGCAGAAGGAATCACTGCCTTCATTTTAGCACCTACTGCATTTTTTAATGAGAATTTCCAACCACTGTGTTCCTAAAACCTTTAAAAGGAAGAGATGAGAATGAAATCTGTTTAAAAAAAAGTCAAAATTTATTACATTGCCATTGATAAAATGTAGTGTTTGATTTGCTGCAATTTTCATTTCTGACTCTAAGATGACAAATGTCCTGACTAAAAGTAAACAACTCACGCAGCATTTCAAACTCTTTCTCTACAACATATAGAGAAAGCATTTTTATATTATTGACTATAGGATAAATATACTAGATTGTTGTGTGACATCCAGTCAATTCCAACTCATAGCAACCCTATATGAAAGAGTAGAACTTCCCCAATGGCTTCCCTAGACTGTAATTTTTATGGGAGCAGATTACCAGGTCTTTTTGGCAGCAGAGCCGCTGGTGGGTTCAAACCACTGACCTCCAGGGATCTTTATATACTATATACCATACCTGTTGCTGTCAAGTTGACTCTGACTCATAGTAACTCCATAGGAAAGAGTAGAACTGCCCCATAGTGTTTCCAAGGCTGTAATCTTTATGTAAGCAGATTGTCACATCTTTCTCCCATGAATATATGACATAATATTATAAAAGATATAATTTTGAGCATGTCTATGTTATTGACTGGACTTTTAATTTTCATTCAGACATTGGAATAATAAAGAGTGGAAACTCTATTAAGATTTTAAACTGTAAACATTAATTACTGGAAGCAAAAACTAACATGTAAATTAAAATAATATTATAATGTATTATGCCCTTACTCATAGACTATATGAGCTAAAAGAAAGCTCAGGTATAATCCAGTTCATCATTTTAAAAATCAGAAAATAAAAAAAAAGTTGTGAATTGAAGTAGCTTTCCAAAGTTGCATTAAAACTTTGTGGCAGAGTAGGGTTTCATCATTTCAGAGATTGATATTTTATACATTTTTATTTGGCAAGGCATTGAGAGCTAAGTCTTTCAGGCTCGTTCTCTATAATATCTACTTGTATCTATTTTTTTTGAAAAGGAAAAATGTGATCTTGAAGTTAAATCCAGGCTGAAATGTGAAACTTCTAAATTTCTAAGAAACATAGAAATATGGAGTGTTTAAAGGCAATTTGCTCATTCTTTCATTCAACTAATATTTATATAGCACTTACCATGTGCCTGATTCTCTACTAGGTGTGGGACATAATGATCAGAAAAATAGATATAGACCGTACGCTGATAGTTTACATCTTGATTCCCAGGACTAGTTCTACCTGATTATATCTGGATAGTTCACAATATTTAGGGTAGAGGACTTCCTGGTTTCCTCAAGAGCTCGTCAAAAATTAGTCTTTACATAACTCTCATAGCAAAAAATGAAAAGAACTATGCTAACAATCGCTAACTTGGCATTATTCATTATTAATTACTTATTCATTTATTTATTCATCCACTCAACATTATGTGCCAGGCGCTGTAAATATTACCCGCAAGCTGGCTTTGGGAAGCTCTCCTGTGAAGATAATAATGTTAACTACTAGTCTAAACTAACACAAAATATACAGTAAGTACTCACAAATTAACAACAATTACAACAAGCATCTTAAATAACTTACTTAGGATGTTTCCACAGTCTTGGTTTAAAAAATTACAGGTATTCCTTTGTGTGTGAGTGTGCCCCACGTAATTATAACATCTTTCATCATGGACTTGAGTAACTCTAGTTCAGTTTCCTTTATCTATTCTCAGTTATATGGAGGATTTTGTCTTATTCCCCAGAGGACGGCAGTC